GCGGAGGTAATAAGTACGCAGAAAACGGGGGAAATTAAATTTCTTCCCAGTTCAGACACGATCTCTTTTCTCCCCACCGTCCCAGTACGAACCCCTCCCCCCTTGGTGGAGACCAACGTACCTCTCAGCTCGCTGGGGATCCTCAGCATACGACGTTGCGGACTCACAAAGCAGAATAGACAAGAAGTTAGCAGGGGTTGGGGCCAAAGTCCATTACAAGGGCATTTTTTCAAAACAGGAGGTGCCTTGCGGAAGCAGAAATGCAAACAGCAGATCTGCTGCCCCCATCAGAAAACACTCGTTCTGTTCGTCCCGGCGCTACTCTTGGCCCAGACACATGTACCACTTTAAACTGCTTTTCACTGCACTTTCCCACTGCCCGACAACTCCAGGCGATCCATCGGGTCCCTGCATATCGGCAGCCGCGCCTGACAGCACAGCATTCGTCAGCGCATTCCTGCCCCCTGTATGGGCAATGTGAATGGGTGCGGTCGCGCCAGCCGTCCGTCGGATGCGCGCTCACCACGCGATGCACAGTCCATTCGCGTGCGGTGACCGCCAATGTCGCGCCGCCGCGGCGCATTCCAGTTTCAATGGTCCGATAGCGGGCGCGGATCGATAATCGCAAGGCCCAATGGCCGCGCGCCGCCGCCGCCACCGCCTTCGCACCTCGCACGCCGCGCCAGTCGGCTGTCACCATAACGACCGTCTCGCCGTCGTCGTCGCTGTCGTCTCCCGTCGTCGACATCGTCGTAGTCGTGGAGCGTCCGTGGTCGTCGTCGTCGTCGTACTGCTTGCCATTCATCGCCAAGGTCTGTTCATTCCTCCACTCATTCATTCATTCCTTCATCTCTTTCAACTCTACCAACCAACCATTCAACTAATTCGATCAATGCCCAAGCGAGTTCTTTGCCCGAAACTTGTCCGCTTCAATTAGTTCCACTTTTTCCATGATTTTTGATCATTTTGCCAGCTCTATCCTCACATAGGTGGTTTGTCAACGCGCTACCAATCCCGACAGGGTGCGCGTTATCGATAGTTAGCCGGGATAAGACCATGACCTCAAAAGACATTCCCTCAGACCAGACCGATACCTGCGCCATCTCTTTCGTTCTTTTTGGAAAAATTCACATCACAGTAAGAAGCTTTATGCTATTTTAAGGTCGATGGACATACTTGAGTCATTATTTCAAACAAAAAACGCCAATTTCATTGCGAACAGAGACATCAAAGAAGAAGATGAGGTTGCAGATGAGGTAGGACTGGGGTATTTCTCCCTTTTTCTTTTTCCTTCAGAATCGCAGTGAAACCGCTGGAGCAGTTCGGCTTGGGAGGAGGGGAGATTTTGCACTCTCGCTAGCTCCCATTGTCGTGTCGAGCCGTTAAGTAGAGTTCTGTGAGATCTTGTAAAACTTGTCAACTTTTGTAAAGAAAACTTGTCAACTCTTGTTTAGCAGTAAACACGACGACGGGAAGTAGCAAAAGTGCAAAATGTTCTCTCCCCCCCCAAGCCGAACTCTGCCACACTGCTGTCAATTAATTGCTCAATTTCTAGGCAGAATCTGGTAGTGATGAAGCAGAGGCCGAGGACCAAAATGGCGAGCCACCGCCCAAACGGGTGAAACGAGAACCAAAGCAACAAATCCTTGCTAATAGAAGGTACTCACACATTATTCATCTCCTATTAAGACCCCACCTGACCCTAGATTCCTCACCTGAACTCACTCCTCTCACAAAGTACCCTAAAGAAACCCGGCTGGTTTTAGAAATGGAGAAAAATTCCGTAAATTGCCCGGAAACTCAAAAATTGCCTCAAAATTCGATGCTAGCACTTACAATTTGGAGAAAGCCACGGGTAGACAGCTCCAAAACATATCTTTCTTCAGTGACCTATATTCGGGCATTACCTGGGAGGCTTCGAGGGTTGAATGTATAACTTAAGTTCAAAACAGCATTGATTAAACTATAAATATTTCAAGAATGTTTCGGCCAAAAGCCTTGACCTCAAGTGGGCCCCGTAATAAAACCTCCCTCACTACCATAACAAAACAAGGGCGCTGTTCTGCCCAGGAGGGGCATTTTCGCACTTCCGTTTCACTACATTCGTTTATTTCGCTAGTTCTTTTTCTTAGTTCATGTTAACTAACACGTCTTACCTTGGTGAGACCAGTACATTCTTGTCAAATGGAAAAAAGCTCCTGTGCTAATGCTGTTGCACACTTTACAGGAATATACAGGTCTCCAGAGGAGGCGTGGCTGTGACCAGTGGGAACCAGCAAACGAGGGGGGGGGTCGTATTTTGAGAAAAAAAACTTCGGGATGCGCCCAGATCTTGGTACTAGTTAAGCAAAAAAGTTAACGGGAAAGAACTTTGAGCATTGCTCAGCTTTAAGGAGCATTTTTGCTAAATCATTTTGTTAGACCGTGTTAACTAACACGTCCCCCTTTACCGAAACTTGTGAACTATTAAGAAACCGCGAATCCGTTTCGTGCCCCCACCAAGCCCTATTACGCAAGAATTTCTTTACCTCTAAGTTTGCCTCCCATGAAATCTTACCAGCTGTCCCGAGTGGCCCACGCTGCTCTATCCCTCTATGTAATAAGTGACCTGGGAAATGTCCGTCCCAACTAC